GATGCATTCTAATATTTTGGATGTTATCATTGTCTGAGGCTCGCTTATTTCCGCCTTCCTGCTATATTTGACCAGAGGGAGACTGTACAAAAGTCAATTGCTTGGGTACCTCTGTCCCATTCGTGTTTCTATCTATTCTATCGTGGCTGTGTTGAAAATTATTTTTTAATTATTTGTTCAAAATTATTTTTAATATTTACTAAATAGTATTTTTTTTATACAACTTAGAATGGCAAACAAGCTGACGGCCCATTTCATGGAAAGTGGTAACCGTCGCCTATAGATATGAGCAGTACCATGGACATAACAAAGTATACTGTTTCGCCCATGATACCACCCATGCGTTGCCATTCCTGAGGACTCAGGTGTTATTCCTCTGTACCCTGTAAATTCACTGCCAAATCTCACCCTTCAAACCGAAACAGCAATTCAAACAACTGCTTAACGGTAGAAACACGAATGGGACAGAGGTGTCCAAGCAAACGATTTTTGTACAAAGTCTCCCTCTGGTAAAGTTATGATATATAGTTACTCGTATATTAGTTTGGAGTTATGACGTAACAGACATGATAAAAACACAAACTATTTGAGAACCTCTTTTTTGAAGTCGATTGAAAATGAAACTTGTAATTATATATATTAATATAGGAGTATTATTACAATTTTGAAGGTGTGTAGGTAGTTTTTTATGGTCTTAGAACTTCTATAAATAGAAAAATTCTGACCGGATGTGTTATACCATGACATTGTATTTTTTAAAGAAATAAACATATTGTGACACCATGAGATATTATTACATAAATTATTACTAAAGCAAATTCCCGGAATTTTATTTGCTGTTTATTCCAGTTGGGAAATGTACAAACACTATTGTTAAACTTGAACATTAGTACCTGTTTTAATAACTCGATGAGCTCATATTAGTAACAATAATTTTCCCTATAGGGTTATCTATGTTATTCATAATGTTTACCGCCATTGGAATATTGAATAATATATGACAAATTTTATTTAGTATTAATATTGCCGTCGGCGCTGATGAACGCGTCCTTGTGTGTCTGGAAATATTTGTAAATCATTTAAGATATAAATGAACGTATTCCTTTTTTAAATACATGAATCCGTTCGATTTATAAATTGTTGTCTTTTTATTTATTTATTTTTTTATGATTTTTAAATACAGTTCCAAACTATTTTAGTTTAGTGGACAGTGTTTAGAATAAAAATATTGTAGTTTTTAAAAATATATTTTAGTTAATTAGCTTATCGCCAAACCATAGACAACACATAGTGTGTTCAGTGACATTCCAGTGATAAGTGATGTGTAAGTTGTAAGTAATTCTGTGGGTTAGACACAGGGGATGAGTCAGGCATGGAAGAGAAGATTCTGTTGGTTAACAGAGTCGAAAGTCGGTAAATTATGGGTTAGTATAAATTGTTAACAAAATATGTTGTTGTTGTAAAATATTTACTGTAAGTACTTTACATTGGACACATTAAAAAGATTTAATATACAATGGCGGACTTATCCCATAGAGGGATCTCTTACAGTCAACCTTTGAGAAGTTGTAAGAATGTATTTGAGTAAAAAATTTATAGCTGAAGATAAAACTGTCGTATTCTGAAAATAATTTAAAAAAAATTATGAACCGTTCCTTCTGATAGTTTACCATTGACGGGGTTTTGCCAGGAGTTGCCACACTTGGCAGGCGGATTGGCATTTGCAGTAAGACTTTTGGTGATATTTTAGGAGGGGCACAGCTGCCCATTGTTCGACCATTAAGTTCCCTTATTCATTCCCATACAAACAGATACATATTTAACTGAAATTATTTCTTTATTTAACACTTTATTGCACTAATATTACAAGATTTGTGAAATTAATATACAATTAATATAGGCACATAAGTATAGCAGTGTGGTCCCGGCATAGAATAGGCCACTCGTTCCTTTCCCGTGGGTGTCATAAGAGGCGACTAAGGGAGGGCGAGGGATGGGTAGCAGCGTCCATCTTAAAACATCTCTAAAACCTGACTGCGGTTGCTAACCCGCCTGGCAAGCGTAGCAACTACTGGCAACAAGCCTTTCCCATAAGGGGCGTGTTGCCAATACTTGCGACGCTTGACAGAGAGTTTGGCAACCGTAGTTAGTCTTTGGTGATGTTTTAAGTCGTGTGGTCTCGGCATAGAATAGATCCTTTCCCGTGGATGTCGTAAGAGGCGACTAAGGGAGGGCAAGGGATGGCCAGCAGCGTCCCTCTCTCTAAAGTCTAGCTGCGGTTACCAATCCGCATGCCAAGCGTGGCAACTACTGGCAAATCCCACCAAGGAGGAGTCTAATGGGATACGCTGGCGGGGCACCAGTGAGGGGTGATAGATGAGAATGAAAACAGGCCAGTTAGCCCATCATGATGAATTCATCAGGAATTAACCATGATAGTATAGATAGATAGATAGATAGATAGGTCGACCTGGTTGGGCATATTGCTAGCAATGGGATTCTCAGTCTCCATTACTAACAATCCCTTTTCCCCTATCGCAATGACTGTAAACTAGGGGTGTATATCTGAAAATAAAAGATTTATTATTATTATTTAGTTACCTACTTTTTAAGAATGAGGTCATGACTCTGTTTTGTCGAAATATATTGCCAGTGTGTAATAGTTCCATTAATCGTCTCCATATTTAAGGAAAAGTGTTTAATTAATAATAGTTTATGCAAACTTTCAATAATTTAATTAAAAATATATTTATTTGTTACTAATATAATTATATCCCTCTTCTTTAAAATATATAAATAAATATTTCTTCAGGGTCGGTAGCGTGCACGTGACACCCCTAGTGTTGCAGGCGTCCATAGGCTACAGTGATCGTTTACCATCAGACGAGCTGTATGCTTGTTTACCACCTTTGTGGTATAAATAAAAATCCTTTTAGATTAGAAGAAAGGATTTCCCAAATCGGTTTATTATTGACAGAATTATGAGGTAACAAACATAAAAAAATAATACAACCCAATTTAGAAGTTTCTTTTTGAAGTTTTTGAAGTTTGTGCATGAGAGATATTTGACTTTGTAAGAGATTTTAATTTTTAAGTGTAAAGTGGTAAGGTTATTGTGAAGTTAAAATTGTTAGCGGTATGCGAAACCAGAGAGCCTACCATGTAATATATTCCGAAATTTCAGGGAACGAAGGCAATAAAGGAAATAAAAAAATATTAAAATATCGTTCCTTTGGACTGTTATGATTTATGACGAACGATATGTTAAGCTTATTAATTTTTTACCAGAGTGAGACTTTGTATATAAGTCGTTTGCTTGGGCACCTCCGTCACATTCATGTTTCTACCATGAAGCAGTTGTGTTTGTATGGCTGTGTTTCGGTTTGAAGGGTGAGATATGGCAGTGAATTTACAATGTACAGAGAATAATACCTGAGTCCTCAGGAATGCCAACGCATAGGAGGTATCATGAGCGAAACAGTATACTCTGTTATGTTCATGGTACTGCTCATGTCTGTAGGCGACGGTTACCACTTTCCATCAGGTGGGCCGTCAGCTTGTTTGCCATTCTAAGTTGCAAAAAAATGTTCTATTTGCTAGGCCGCTTTCTGTACGAACAAAAACACGAAATTGCGCTCGAAAATTCGGAATTTCGTTTATATGTTTTGCTTTTCATTTAAATTTATATAAGAATTGCTGCCAAGATTTTTTAACACACAAATTTTTATGTTCTTTCTTTTCAAAAAACACCCAAACAAGTTCATAAGTAACAAGAGTTAATGCTCTAGTAATATTTACCCACACCAATAGTATGCTCACAACAATTAAGCAGACAATGCACAATATTATAAGTAAGTAAAAAGTGAAAAATAACTATTCAAAAATGCTTAAATCTAAGTTTACTTGAACAAAAACATTTCACTCCTCACTACCAAGCTTAAGGCCATATGAACACATCAATTAAAGGTGTATACAGCTCTCACAGATAAGCGTCAATGTATACTAAGTAACAATTATACAATGTTCTATAAACAATAGTTTATTATATGTAAAAAGGAAACGCTTGAACTCTGCCATAGATATCTCTTATCATTTCCGCCACGAACAAAATGTACCAACTTTTTATACAGATATTGTTTTACTTACTTATTTCATTCACAATCTCGTATAGCATTGTTTTTTTATTTTTGTCTATGCATAGCTTAGATTAAGAATTTATAGTACGTAGTGCGTTATCCTTAATCTTGATTCGTAGTTTTGTAATACGGCTGCTTTACATTTCATTTACAATCTCTTATTGCTCTTTATTTTTTATTTTTGTGTATTCGTAGCTTAGATTAAGAATTTATAGTACGTTATGCTACAGACAATTGTACGAGCGAAATGTATACTTTATTTTTTGTAAATATATACTTAATTATACATAAAAAAGTTCATATAAATACAAGAAACTCTGGAATAGAAATGTATCAGCTGTGAAGCAATTGTTTGCATGGCTGTGTTTCGATTAAATTGAATGACGAATAGGATATAGCAATGAAATTACAGGGTACAGAGGCGTAACACTGTAATCCTCAGGAATGGCAACGCATGAAGGGTATCAAATACAGTATAGTCTGTTACTAAGAACAAGTAACATAGAAGGAATGATGAAATCAAAACTTTAAATCATATGGTTGTTTCCTTTCTTCTTATACAAATGTAATTAATGAAAAGAGGACGAAAGATACGCCATCAGTTTTTTATTTGGACCGTATGAATCAGTACAGTATATAATGCATCGTGTGTTTTAAGTTAGGATATAACCTGTCCGTGTACTATTTTTTATTTAAATTCTTTTAAACTTTTAAGTATGATTGAGTAACAAACATCCATACATACTTAAATTTTCGCATTTGTCCATTACAAACCTGTAGTATGCAGGTTTTATGCTTATAGTTTTATATTAATATAAAAATTCAAATTCAGAACACTAATTTAATTCTATATTTCGTCACCAGGCGGAGCTAGTGGCAGCGGTTCGACGACGCGGGCGCGGCGACGGCAGCGACGACGACGAAGACCTAGGGCTGCCACGCAGTCCACCCGCCTCGCCTCCCACCGATAAGGCTGATAAGGTATGTACCAACAAAGATTTAATATATACCTAGATGCCTATTTAACTGAGTGATAACGAAGAATACTCCAAGACTTTCTATCCAGCAGCTTAGCCAGCTCAGCATTTTTTTTTTGCGAAATGAAAATGGAGTAATAAACTCCGCGCGATCGGTATACGCTGACGGAACATTACTGAGGGATGAATGATGAAGATGAAAGCAGGTCAGTTGGCACATCTTGGTAAATTCTCCAGGCATTAACCAAAATCATCTCCAAGAGGGTCTGGTATTCCTAGTAAGTAATATACCTTTTTTTTTATACAACTTAGAATGGCAAACAAGCTGACGGCCCACCTGATGGAAAGTGGTAACCGTCGCCTATAGACATGAGCAGTACCGTGGACACAACAGAGTATACTGTTTCGCCCATGTACCCCCCATGCGTTGCCATTCCTGAGGACTCAGGTGTTATTCCTCTGTACCCAGTAAATTCACGTCATGTCCCACCCTTCAAACTGAAACACAGCCATGCAAACACGACTGCTTAACGGTTGAAACACGAATGGGACAGAGGTAGCCAAGCAATCGACTTTTGTACAAAGTCTCCCTCTGGAAGTCTACCTTGAGAGAAAGGGTTCCATTACTAGCAATATACCCTATCAGGACGAATTCCACGCGGCTCCCCCTAGAACATAGACATATTTAAGTGTGGGCTAGGTGGTCCGTGCGCATTCCAGAAAGGTCTAGAAGGTAAAAGGGATTGTTAGCAATGTGAACTATCAACTTTATTATTAGCAATATAACCTATTACGTCGACCTCCATGCGGCTTCCCCTGGAAACTATCGTAGTTAATTATTGTTGAATTCGTCACGATGGGCATCTGACCTGCTTCCATCCTCACCTGTCATCCTTCGCTGGTATACCGTCAGCGTATATCAGTAGTGTAGGCGGAGTTATCATACCATTAGAAAAAATAACCAGGATGCGAACGAAGTTTCTTCAAAAACATGTATGAGAGTAAACGAAATATATGCACCTTTTATAATTTATTTGTAAATATTTGTATTAAAAACAGAAAGGTATAAAAAGTCATAAATATGTCTATTAGTTATGATCGTAGTATAATTCTATTTCGTAGTGGACAAAGAAATAGCGCCATCTAGTTTATAACAGCGTAACTTTGTTCGGTTAGTAATTGTACAAGTGGTTCGCAAGAACACAACTAGATGTCACTGTGAGTTACAAAATACAAAAATATAGTGATTCTCCCACAATTATGAAAGCAGTTATTTCTTCTAAAAAAAATTAAATATATCAAAAAAGTCCTTTTAATTTCTTCAAACATAATGTTTATTAAATATGAACACTGACAGCTTTAGTTTATTTTATGGTATTTTCTCTAATATTTACTTACTTATAGTCATTTGTATAAAATTCTAGTTTTGAAACTAAATCGTTCTGTATATGAAGTCATAAATAATATTATTCGTTTTGATCATAATTAATGGCACAGCACAATCGGCTATGACCGAAAAGGTAATTTTTTTTAATGGATGATAATGCAATGGTAGCCTCGCCTGCGCTAACAGTATACACTGGCGGGGCACCAGTGAGGGATGATAGGTGAGAATAAAAACGCAGGCCAGTTAGGCCATACCGTGATGAATACACCTGGAATTCAATACGGTTGTATCCAGAATAGTTAGGGTTTTAGATCCATTTACTAACAATCCCTCTCCCCCTGTATAAAATTATTTTTTATTCTTATGTATATATGCGATCATAAGAAAAGTATTCTATCAGTTTTGACCATAATCAATGGCAGAGCACAATCGGCTATGATCACATCATGGACGCATTGTTTATTCCACGAAATCTTTTATATCAATACTAGCTGACTCGGCAAACGTTGTTTTACCATATACATTATTTTTAGAACTATACATGAAAATTTCTCGTACTACAATTATTATATTGGATTGCCATCTTGCAACCCTATTGCGGAATATAAAAATCGCGATTAAAAAACAGGAGTTGATCGTAGAACGGTGAAAATTTGAGGTTGTATGTATTTTTCAATACTAAATCATAATAAAATAAATATGGAAAAAATTGTAAAAAAAAATAAAAAAAAAATTTTTTTTGGGGTGGGTCACCCTTTTCTTTGAGGGGTATGAAAAATAGATGTTGGCCGATTCTCAGACCTACCCAATATGCACACAAAATTTCATAAACATCGGTAAAGCCGTTTCGTAGGAGTTTGGTAACAAACACCGTGACACGAGAATTTTATATATAAGATTAGGTATCTATATATCGTATTGGTGATAGCGTAAATTGTACTACTAATTAATATATAATCTATTATGTATTAAATACCAATTTGGACTTATATTATCTTTATACCTGTAGTTACATTATCCAAGATAATGCTCCAAGGGCGTAATTATTTTATACTAGTTTTTAATTTTTTTTTTGCAACCTTGTCTGCGTGATCCGAATTACGGATGTACTAATAAACTATGTACTAATTTCATGATAATTTATTGTTTTATACAGTATTAAGAGACAGCGAACAAACATACAAACTGACATTTATAGATATTAATATGTATTCCAATATTTTTTTTTTTTGTATTATTATTAGGTATATATCATCATACCAGCCTTTTACTGTCGACTGCTGAACAAAAATCCTTCCCCTTGGGGGGTTTTTCCAGTAGTTGTTACTTTAGGCAGTCGGATTGGCAAACGCAGACAGGTTTTAGAGATGTTTTAAGAGAAACGCTGCTGCCCATCCCTCGCCCTCCCTTAGTAGTTTACGACGCTCACGGAAAGGAAGGACCACAAGGCCATTTTTTTTACCTATTAGTATCCATTATATACAAGAATCTAAGTATGAATTTCCGACAGATTTATAACTATTATTAGCCGTGTGGTCCCAGCGTAGAATGGGCTGCATCTTACCTTTTCCGTGGTTGTCGTAAGAGGTGACTAAGGGACCTTAGTGGTCGACGAATAGGCAGCAGCGTCCGTCTTAAAACATCTCCAAAGCCTAACTGCGGTTGCCAATTCGCCTGCCTGTAGTGGCAGCTACTGGCGAAACCCCCCAAAGGAGAGGAATTTAGCAGTGGACAATTAAAGTCTGACGTGATGATATAATTATAACTATTAACAAAGAACTATTTTGAAAATTATATATATAAATATTTCAGTATGTTGCTATAATTATGTCACATATTTTTCACCACATTTTATTTTGCCCCTTCATACGCTTTCTGTTTTTACCTAATGTTTTTACCACTTGTACAAAGTTTTATTGTGCAATAAAGAATAAATAAATAAATATTCTATTGATAAAACATTTTGAATCAGCAAGTAATTTTAAAGTTTTACTTTTTTTTTATACAACTTAGAATGGCAAACAAGCTGACGGCCCACCTGATGGAAAGTGGTAACCGTCGCCTATACACATGAGAAGTACCATGGACATAACAGAGTATTCTGTTTCGCCCATGATACCACCCATGCGTTGCTATTCCTGAGGATTCAGGTGTTATTCCTCTGTACCCTGTAAATTCACGCCATATCCCACCCTTCAAACCGAAACACAGCCATGCAAACACAACTGCTTCACGGTAGATACACGAATGGGACAGAGGTACCCAAGCAATCGACTTTTGTACAAAGTCTTCCTCTGGTTACTTATTTTATAATAATTAACGTATACAAAATTTTATATTAGAAGAATGTTACATTACATAGCGAGCAAGGCCTCGACATAAATGCACTTTCACCGTTGCATCTAAGTGATTACAATAGAGAATTACTACCTGTATTCAGTTATAAGACGGTGTGCGAGGTTATTTTATTTAGAAACTGATTACCGCATATAATGATTCTTTTATGCGCCATATTGTACTTTTTTAAACTATTCTTGTTGATGTTATGCTGTGTTCGCCTTCTTCTGGATATCTCTGTATTAATTTTCTTTAAAATGAAAATACGTATGTGAAGTACATATAGATAATTACAATGTGTATGTATGTATGTCACACAATATATCATGTAACTATCTAAACATGTTCTTTTCAAGTCAACCATGGAGCAAACAGAGATATTTGGTGGCGGTACTTTGAAAAATAAAAGGGAAACTATATAGATACGTATGCAATGAGGGGAAAGAGATTGTTAGTAATGGGTTATTATAACCCTGTTGCTAGCAATGTACCCTGTCAGGTCGACCTCCACGTGGTTCCCCCTGGAAACCATCATGGTTAATTCTTGTTTAACTTTTCATGATGTGCCAACTGACCTGCCTTCATCCTTACCAATCATCTATCACTGGTGCCCTGCCAGCGTATACCGATAGCGCTGGCGGGGTTACCATTCCATTTTCACCCATTAAAAAAAAACATATGTAATGATAATTATATATACCATATACAGAATAAGAGGTTCTTTCCTCAATGTGACAAAATCTGCAAACACTTTTTGGGCATAAACCTACTTGGGTCGTGTGCTTGTTTAGTTTACAGTGTCCAGTGAGAGCTCCTATTAATACACACATTATTTTTTCTCAAAACAATTAATTTTTTAGAGTCATTTTCTGAAAATTGAAGGCTTTCGTGTGATTTAATCCTGGCAACAAGAACCAACTATTATTTGCTGTTTTTAAGCTTTCGAATTTAAGGTATCCGAGCTTTAGGTTTCGAGGCATGCCACGATAAGTTTCTGATCCTATTTGAGCATGCTTTTTTTTATTGTTGAAAATGGTATGGTAACCCCGCCTGCGCTAACGGGATACGCTGGCGAGGCACCAGTGAAGGGTGATAGATGAGAATGAAAACAGGCCAGTTAGCCCATCATGATGAATTCATCAGGAATTAACCATGATAGTTTCCAGGGAGAACCGCGAGGAGGTCGACTTGGTTGGGTATATTGCTAGCAATGGGATTCTCAGTCTCCATTACTAACAATCCCTTTCCCCCCATTTGAGCATGCTTTGCCATTTCCTTTG